TCATGGGAAGTGCTCCCTCGCCGGCCGCCCGCCCGCTCGGGATGTCAGTTAGCCGCGAGGCTAACAAGGCATCTGCCCTGGGCATTTGGGGGGCGGCGTTTTTTGCCGCCCCCTGAAAAATGCCGCCCAAGGCAAATGCCTTGTTTGCCTCGCGGCTAATACGTCCCTGGGTGCAAGCCATTGCTGAGCACCATTTTGTAAGTCTTTATTTAGTCAAGAATGTGCACACATCCACAACACAGTATACAGTATATTATAGATAGAAGGCATCCAAGATAAAACACTTCTAGTGTACATAAGGGTTACAGGTTCACAATCCTGATTGGTTGAAAGATAAGCACTAAATTTTATTAGAATAATTCTGCTGGCCTGGATTGGAATCTTTACAAACATCTTAAGTTTTCGCTATGTGCCTAATTATTAATCTGGATTTGACACAGGGCCGGTGCAAGAATTTTTGGCTACACAGGCGAAGATGCATTTTGCCGCCTGCCTCCCCCTCAAAAAATATATCTTCACCTGTGTGCCTTGCAACCTCTCTTTTAAATTTCTTACCCGCTTTAGTGTTATATATCTCCTCTTGAATGTCTTACCCCTTTGCGAGTGTGTTACAACCCTTTTATTGTATTATATCCTCCCTTTAGTGTATTATACACCACCCTGTGTCTCTTACTTGCCCATCAGCCCCTTCCTGTGTCACTGTGCTATAGTGCGGGGGATAGGGGAAGAATTGTGTGGGTTAGGGACTTTATTATTATAATATATAGCGCCAACAAATTCTGTAGCGCTGTGTAAGGACAGTACTAGGGGCAGAAGGGCAGCATTAAGGGGACTGGGGTTATGGTGGGTGGTAGGGACCGCATCAGGGGCAGTAAAGCAGCATTGTGGGGGACTGGGATTATGGTGGGGTGATAAGGACAGTAATGGGTGCAGCAGGGCAGCATTGTGGGGGACTAGGGTTATGGTGGGACAGTAGGGGCAGTATTGAGGGGCAGCAGGGTAGAATTGTTCGGTACTGGGGTTATGGTGGAGGGTAGGAACTGTATTGGGGGCAGCAGTGTGGAAGACTGGGGCTATGGTGGGAGGGAAGGGACAATAGTGTTGAGAAGTGGGGCTCAGAGACACACTCCCTCCCCCTCTCCCTACCTGCCTTCTACTGAACTGTGGTTTAGTGGGCTGCCTGAGTGAGTTCCACTCTATGTCCTCATTTCCCGTATAGCTCCCTTGCTCACCCCACAATGGTCCCTGGGAGTCAAAATATGACGTCACATTCCTGCTCCCAGGACCTCTACAGGGTGCGCAAAAAAGCTATATGCTCGGCGAAGCTAGAGGAAATGACCCGAAGGAGAGGAGCACACTTCTCTCCTGCCGGTCACCATGATATTTGCACCCCCGGGCCGGAGCGCCCTAAGGTGACCGTCTGTGCCACCTTATATTAGCGCCGGCCCTGATTTGACAACAGTGGCAGTCTAAAGCCATGTAATCGATAATCCAACTCAGAGTTTAGCATAATCTTCTATTCCATAGATGTTGCTCATATGTAATAATACTAAAGGACTGAGCGATACCCTTGTATTGGTTTGTCTATACTGTACTGTCTGGGTTTTTTTATGATTGTACAGCGCAGCACATTCTAACTAACAATAATAGTAATAGAAATTACAAGGAGACAACCAACTATGGGTCCAAGTAACATTCTGTGCCCCTTTTGGCCAATGTCGTTCTGTTACTCTGTGGCAGAGAGGTGAACTTTTTCTTATGACTTTTTGAATTAATCTACCACCACTGGATTCTATCTGCTGTCTGTTTGCAAATCTATTTCCTTTTACTATCTCACATACATGGGTATCTAAAATTGGTTAATTCATTAAAAGTATTGAGTGTGATATATCATATAAAGAAACAAACAAAAAAAAACACACAACTGCACTTATAATATTGCAAAAATAAAGGTAGTAGCAGATAGACAGATGATAGATAATAGATGATAGATAGATATTATAATTAAGTGTTCATTTAATATTTATTTGTCCTTTATTCGTGAGCATTAATACTACAAAACTAGTACTACTAAAATTTCTGGAAAGAACATGTAAAACTTTTGAATTCACTATAAATAGTTAAACTCCATAAATTGCCAGTATTATGAACTTCACCACTATAGACAAGGCTTACAAGCTTAGGTTTTTGATGTAATACAAATTGCATGTTAAATATCAAGTCTGTAATATCTAAAACCAAGCAATATAGAATATCTTGCATGTTCATTTGCCCTTTTTGCACCATGAACTGTGGTTAATATTCGTTCTGTAATTTTCCTAAAATGTGAATAAAAATGTTAATTTTGGCAATCATTTGTGTTTTTTAAGGACTTTGTGCCTCAAGAAGTATAAAACTCAATTTTATTAAACTTTGGAAAATCATTCTGAACCACAATCGCTACAAAACTGTCAAGATTAATCCAGTTGTGAGCTATCCTGTATAAAGTTGTAGGCTCTTTAAACAAGAGATCTATCTTAGAATGCCTTGTTGGTTCTAACATTTTTAGCATTCTACATTATTTAAACAGCTCAACCCCCCCAAAAAAGCACATTTTTTTTGGCACATTTCTAAACCATCTAGAGCTTTGCAACCTCTATAAGTAAAAACCAAGCTGTATCGTTTACATGGTTGTTGAAGGAAGGATAAGAAACCTCAAAAGATTTTCCAGTTGCACATTAAAGGTTGACCTTCTTAGATCTTGAAGGGGGAAGAGGAAAGTACATTTGTAACAAAACACATTAGCACAGGCTGGTGAGAGAGTTTAGGTGGTTACCAACGTTTTTAAAGTCATAGGTATGAATCTCAGTAGGTTCAACCCAGCATTTCTCCCATCCAAAGTCATCAGTGCACAAGAAGGATGGCACCTACAGGTCTTGCAATGAATGTAGGTACTGTCTGTATTTAGCTTAAGACAGTCTCACTGGTATTAATAAGTTACAATGTTTCCCGCATGGCAATGAATCAGATGGTGGATCTAACCTCATTTAGGTATGTAAAGATCTGTTAAATTGATTTAATTGATTTCAGAGTTCAAAGGCATCATCGATGAATCAACAAAGGTTCTTGTCTCCAATATTGTTGTTAATATTTGCTGCTACTCCCCAAAAAGCTTGTCACTACTGTTAGCAAGTAGTAGCTGTATCCCAATGTATGTTCCCATCTTTGGAAAGAGAAAAGTCTCAGGTTTACATCTGTGCACCAGATCAGTATGCACCGGAACATCAGGTAAGTTGTCTTACATTTACTATCAGTGTATTCTTTAAGATAGGAGACAAATGTCATTACTACCACTGTAAATAGAAAAAACAGAAATAAAAAAAACAAGTCCCCCAAAGACAAAAACACAGGTCCCCAAAGACACAATTTATTAATAGATTCAAGCATGTAAATTATACTAAAAGGACAAAAAATCAAAATAAAAAACATACAGCATTTTTTATTTGCAGAAACAGAAGAGAGTCCACTAAACAGATTGAAACCAAGGTAATACACAAACCCCCACCAGGTGTCACTGCTAGGCACACTCATGTGCTACAATCGAGACACTACCGGGCGGTAAAGAAAATTAGATACAATGTATCAATGCACGAGAAAGAGGAATTGGAACTGCTTCCAGTAACGTAGACACAAAGTGAGAAACAAATACACACAGCTCATGGATAGTGGAAGATAGAGATTATAGTACAATTATAAAGATAATAGTTTGGCTTCCTTAAAGGAACACTGTAGTGACAGGCATACAAACATGTTTACATTGTAAACCTGCAGAGAAAGGTTATAGACACCAGAACCATTACATTAAGCTGTAATTGTTCTGGTGACTAAGGTGTCATTTTAATATAGGAAAGCCTACCATACAACTATATATACAGGTGGATTGCATAAGCAAATTTGCTTCCTTTTGCATATAGGAGCCTACCATAGCACGTAGTCCATACAGCCAACCTCTAATACCTATTTACCCATAAATGATATAACTACCTATCTATACCTCTACCTTCTCGACTAAATATGGGGACAGCATGTGAGGTGGTGTTTAAGCTCTACTAGTATATGTTGACACATATACTAGTAGAGCTTAAACACCACCTCACATGCTGTCCCCATATTTAAACTGCAAATAACAAAAATAATTACATAGTGCTGTTTAAAGTGTAATGAAAAACACTCAAAATAAAACCCAAAGGGGGGGCGGAGCTAACCAGCGATCAGACTAGACACATGTCGCCTCAGCTCTTGCTAAACTTTAATTTAACACAGACTTTCCATGCACCTGAGCCCTTGCAAACACCTCACGGAGCACCAATACACCATGGGAAATCACTCATGAAAATCCCGAGAGCCAGACTCAAGATATTGGTGTGCTTCTATCGCAGCCATGTAGGCCCCAGATGGTGGAGTTAAGGCCGACACGCCACAAGACTTCTTCTCGGCATCGGAAGACAAAGACCTCAAACTGTCGGACACACCATCTCCTCACTGTACAGCCAAGACCCAAATATCACCTGGCTTCCAAGACGGATCTTACCTCCATGGTGACGGACCTCAAAGCCTTCTTTGCTTTGGAAATGGCGGTGCTGAGATAAAACTTGGGCATGCTGAAGGGACACATCAGATCCACAGAGGAAGATATCCATGACATGTGGATCAAACAAGACTCCACAGCAGAGAAACTCCTGGAGGTTATCAACACGTGTGTGCAGCTCAGTGCCAAAATAGGGCAGCTTGAGGACAACGCACGACAATGTAACCTAAAGGTGCGGGGGATACCCAACACCATTGACTCGGCTCAGCTACCTTGACACCTAAACAGAATCCAGGGAAGGCCCAATGCCAACATCGTGACACCCAAAGATGTCATCTTATGCTTTAAATCCAGGTCTAAGAAAAACAAACTACTGAAGACAATCAAGGACACAATGCTTTATATCTTTGAGGAACACTACGTTTTTTTCCAGGACCTGAGTCACCCAACGCTGCAGTGGCACGCATCATTGAAGGGGGTGACAGCACAGCTATGGTCAGCCGCCATCACCTACAACTGGGGATACCCGAGACCCCTTGTAGCTGAAAAAGATGGCCGACGCGCCCGACTGACTTCGGCATTGGAAGCCGACATGTTCATACACTCACTGGGACTTTCAGCCCCTGCCACAGCGGCCAACTCCACCAGAACGGCACACCAGTGGGATGTAGCTAATGTGACAGTCTTCCAGCTAGCAGGATCATTGGCCCCAGGTTGAAGCAACCTAAAGGGGTGCTTATTTCACCAGCACCACTGTATTTAATGTATGGCGGCCTACCTTCCGGGCAAACACAATATGGGCTTTAGACCTGTTTGCACCCAGCTGCATATAGCTGCAGTAATATTTCACCCTGAAGCAAACGCAGGTCAAATCTGCCCGGGTATACTTACTTACTGGACACCAGATCTAACCATGTGTGGGAACTCACATATACATATTACAGCCTCTTTTTTTTTTTAAGTGCCTTTACTTCAATGCCATTCTTATGTTTAACTATATGTGTGCCTTTGTCAGGAGAAAGAACTCTTTTAAAGTTACTCATTCACCGTCTGGGGACTTCACATAAATTGCAAAGACCCTCTGATTGTGACTGCTCCGCTAGGCAGCGAGTGCTTTTACTGTACTTACTTAAAAATATAAATTTCTTGGAGGCAAAATTTTCATTCTTTGAGGCTCAAGAAATGATATAATATCCACTGGATAACCCCATTGATAAGCTCATAATAAGCGAGATCTCATTTTCATATGAATTTTTCTCTTAAAAGTATCTCTTTACAATTTTGTTTCATTTTTACTATTGTTGTACGTTGAGTCAGCAAACATTTTTAACATTTTTAAAGGTATTTAAAACAAAGTTATGTTGCCATTCACCTTTATATTAAAATTATAATTTAAACATTTGGAAAAGATTACTGGAATTCTAACGTGTATTCTTTCCTTCAATCTATGACTTTATTTAGTTCACAAACAAGAAGAATCATCATCTTTGAAAAGGATTCACAGTGGGACCTGATACAGGAACTTCCTGGAAAATGCTAACCACTGTTTGTAATAAATAATTATTTAAACAGCTTGAATATTTGTATTAAGGCCATTAAGAATGTGTGCCCAGTTTTCTCTGTAGTGTTCTGCTTATTGAAGTTTCTGTCCTGCGAAATGTTATGTATCTTCTTTTGCTTTGGAAGTGATGGTATGTGTCTAGCCTGTGCCAAATGGATGCCCTCCATTTGAAAAACAAATATAAGGAGTATAGTCATAAAGGTCAATTTTCACTGAAGTAAAATTTGCTCTTTTAAAAAAATTTTTTTTATAATTAATATACAGTGGGACCTCGGTTTACAAATTTAATGCGTTCTCCGGGACGTTTCTTATTGCGAAACATTTGTAAACCGAAACGCGGTTTCCCATAGGAATGCATTGACAACTAATTAATCCGTTCTGGAGGTCATAAAAAAGTCAAAATGAGCTGGCATGGAAACCAACCCACAATGCAGAACACACAATAAAAGGCATGCAAAAGACGAAGCTCAGCTTGAGAAATGCACCAAAAACAACTGAAAACAATTTCCAGAATGGCTCCAAAACTCAATGCAAAAGCCGCTCCAACACCTCCACACTCGACACCACGTGCTACCCACAGGCTCCAGCATGCAGGGGGAGGTGCTAAAATCCTCCCAGGTGCAATGCATCCTGGGGAAACTCGCTTTGTATTGCGAAAAAAATGTGTCAACCGAGGCATTATTTTCAATGGATTTTCATTTGTAAACCTAAAATTATGTTAACCGAGGCATTTGTAAACCGAGGTCCCACTGTACTGTCATTTTAATGGTATAATAAAGTTGATTGATCATTGTAGAAATTAGTCTTTCATAAGATAAAGCTTTGTATGTTTTCTACGACCTATCTTTATTTTTGAATAGTATAATAATATTGTAAATTAAAGTTATTATTTAGGAACTATTTTACCTGTGAGATCTTTAGTTTCAGTTTACATTTACTCATCATTAGCTAACCTGATTCACACTTCATTATTACAGAATTACATGCTTAGATTTATAATATGCTATAGTTCTCTACTTATTCACAGAATATATTTTACAGAAGAAAGACAAAATAAACAATAAAGTAATTTAAGAACAATGACTGCTGTTATTCAGCATGATTAGCTTCCTGTTTTTACTAATGAATAGTACATTGGAGGAAGGCAATGATAGACATGAAAAATGTCAAATGCATAAGAGATGCAGTTTTAAAGTAACACAGCAAGAACCATAATCACTACAGCATGCTATAGTGGTTATGGTCCCTGGAGTGCTCAGGTGCAACCCAGTATTAATAGCCACACAGTTTAATTGCTGGTATGTGGCAACCAGTTGCTGCACCCTACCTCCCTTTAGCAGGGAAGATAATTTTAGCAGCTTTAATGAGCTATTCTGAGCAAAGTTCTACAGCGCAGGGCTAGCTTATTGGCTGAGAGCATCAGTTGACTGCACTTCTGTAAACCCACAATGCACTTGTTTCCAAGTTCAAAGGGCACACAAGGATAATCACAGTTATATTAATACATCTGAGCCACTTACTAGGAGAGTAATAGTATGTATAAGTTATATATCTAATAGCAATGTGAAGTTTAATTTTCTCTCTTCAAAGTTCACATAGCTGTTTTTTGCCATTACATATGAACTTTAATATAGTGACTAAACTAATTCATATAGATTATGGAATTCTTTATTTTGAGGTCACTATATGTAGAATGGTTTTAGGTTTTTAAATACTACACAGATTAAACATTATTATGCTCTGTTATGTTCTCATTTGTTTAGGTTATAAAGGAGCATGGCTTAGCACTATGTAAGAATGATTAGGAACTACAGGTGTAAATAAAATGTTTTTAAACTGTGCTTAAGCCTCTCGATATTCAAGATATTGAAAAGTCTGGATCTCAAGGCAAAAACATCTGCCCAACCACATTTACAAACTCGCATTACTTGAGCAGACACCCAATGCACACAAGCACAATGTTTAACCATGTTTTAGACCTCAAGATGTGTTAAAAATTAATACTGATTCAGACAATTTTGACTGCATTGATGATGGACTACCACAGAGTCAATTCATTATACCCTAGTTCCCCTAGAATGTAAGGTTGTTTGAGCAGGACTCTCAGCACTCTCTGTTCCTGTACGTCCAACTTGTCTTGTTGCAAATACTTGTAAGGTAGTCCACCCATTGTACAGCAATGCAGAATTTAACGGCATTTTATTAATAATAATATAAATGATAATCATTGTTGGGACCCACATTTGTCCAAATGCTGGACATGATGTGATTATGGAACCAACCAGTCCGAGTTAAAAATATCTTGTCATAATGAGCAACTATTTTTAGATGTCTCTCTCCTTTATATCCCTTGGCAGATAACCCAGATTTCCAAGGGGGCAGGGAGCAAATATAGTTAAAAATCTCTTAGGCGACACAAATCCTATTCTTCCCTTAATTATGGTAGGGGAAAATATATTGACCACTACAAAATTAATGGAGGTTATACAACGCCATTCATTATTAGACACTATCAGATGTGTGCAATTGATTGGTTTTCTGAAGAACAATGTGGTATCTCAATGGAAACACAGAGACATAACCCCCTTTGAAAAGATATGTCTTACAAACAAGAACACAAGAGGCTCCCACTCCAGTATATACCATTTCATTCTGAAAACAAACCGTGGAGAAATGGTAAAAAAACCAAGCCTCTTCTTCCATCTCCCTGTTACAAAAATCAATGCCGTGTACACGTCCACTGATAGGAGACGCGGAAGGTATTAAACTGATAAAAATAGTACTAAACACACCACTCCTATCTGGTGTCACATTAGCTTGACCGCGCAGTGCCCCAAATTTGCAGTAAGAGGACCGACCAAGCCTCTTCTTCCATCTCCCTGTTACAAAAATCAATGCCGTGTACACGTCCACTGATAGGAGACGCGGAAGGTATTAAACTGATAAAAATAGTACTAAACACACCACTCCTATCTGGTGTCACATTAGCTTGACCGCGCAGTGCCCCAAATTTGCAGTAAGAGGACCGACCAAGCCTCTTCTTCCATCTCCCTGTTACAAAAATCAATGCCGTGTACACGCCACTGATAGGAGACGCGGAAGGTATTAAACTGATAAAAATAGTACTAAACACACCACTCCTATCTGGTGTCACATTAGCTTGACCGCGCAGTGCCCCAAATTTAATGTGATCTGTGAGTAAGGTAAACGGTTGTCCATACAAGTAGGTTGCAGCTTTTTGAGGGCCCACACCACCGCCATGCACTCCTTTTCAATGGCAGTGAATATACTTCGCTGTGCAAAAGTTTACGGCTTAGATAAAAATCAATGCCGTGTACACGTCCACTGATAGGAGACGCGGAAGGTATTAAACTGATCAGAACAATACTAAACACACCACTCCTTTTTTTTGGTGAGGCTTTACAGGACAGAGTGCTTCTCCACGGGACATGTTAACTCACGGGCAGCTGGCTCATCAAGGAACCACAGCAGCTTTCCATGTACAGGTAAGACACGTGCAGCCGGTAAGGGTTCAGGCTCTTCTTCCTGGAGGATACGCTGCAAGCCTGTTGAACGAGGTGACCTTGCTCGGGTCCCAGGTGTACGGTTCCTAAAATGGCTGCCATATACACGTCCACTGATAGGAGACGCGGAAGGTATTAAACTGATCAGAACAATACTAAACACACCACAAATAAGGTTTCTCTCCTGTATGGCTCCTCAAATGATGCTTAAGATTAGAAGCGGCTGAAAAGCATTTCTCACACTCCGAACAAAAATATATTTTTTTAACATTCTCTCCACTTTGAACGAAATGACGTTTGGGAAGAGATTAACATAATTAAACACAGGCAGTAAAAATACAGTTTTTAGCCATACACTGTAACTTTAAAACTACACATCCCATCTTCATAATTACATATTTGGAATCAGCACACTTAAAACATAAACATAACCAAAAATCAGCCAAATCCATCCAGGGGTTAAAAGGTTAGCTGGAGGTCCCTTTATGACCGACCGCAAGCACATTTTCCTGCCCAAAACAGTTCCATAGATTTGGGCTGTGAGGTCGGTCTATTTCAGGCTGAAAAAACGACTAAGTCCCATCGCGAATGGGACTTAGTCTCTGCAGCTGAAATAAGGCTGAAAAAGGCTGA